ATTTTTTTCATTTACTCTTTAGGAAAGTGGTCCTTATGTTTTGAATTTTTATGCTAAAACATTAAACTGAGGAACTGTGTTTCTAGTAAAGTTGTAAAACCTAATCCTTCTGAAAGGCTCTTGGGAATTAATATTGCTTTTTTTTTTTTTTTAAGAAAAAGGATTATTTTCCCGCTAAACTTCACAGGCAGTATGTGGCATTGTATGGTTGTGACTGAAATGTTCATTAAGCATCTCTCTCTGGGGACTTGTTTGGTCATGCCCTACACCTGAGTCAGGGCAAACTTGGATGTTTACCATTCCATCATGTTTCTGGGAAATGGATCCTTTTCTGGAGCAGTAAGGAATGACATGCATATACTCAATTTTTAATTTTACTTTTAGGAATGGCCTGAATTATCTTTTGAAGTCTTTCCAGACCACCCTGTGTTACAGCTATAACTCATTAATTGTAAATGTTTGTTTTTATAAGCAGCAGTGCTTTTGAAAAGAGCCTTGTCAATGTGTTTCTCAAAGCATAGAACAAATCTTGGAATAGATTAAAACTTGCACAATAAAAGGGCTGCTTAAACGAATTTTTCGTAACTAGGTGGTCTCATTGTTCATTTGGAGACTTTTTTCTGTTTTAAGACAAAATTTCTAGTGTGTCCTACTCACATGAAGGCACAGATATGTGAAAACTTCCTTTGTATCAGCTTACAAAGTGTTACTGACTTAAGTGAGTTTATTAAGAGTTTAAAATACATTGTTGGAATCGAAACTTTGCTATTTGAAAATGCTTTAAATAAATTCTACATTTTTTTTCCATTTGACTGTTCAAGATCAACATCTCCAATATGAACAACTGCCTTGAGAATTAACTTCTACAAATATTATTATTTATATCCTGGCCTTGGTTCTCAAGTTTTAAGATGTCCATTGAATTCAATCCTGAAAGGGGTAAAATAGGCAAGTAATTCCCTTTATGTGAGCTGATAAATATTTTGAATAATTAGACAGCTTTAAAGGTGAGTCTGTGAGACATTCTCATTACACATACACTTCAGTGCTTTCCAAGGGTGAGAGGATAGGGGTGGAAGTGGAGGTAGGGCAAGGCAGGAGAGAGGAGGTGGTAGGAAAGGGCAGGACATTATCTCTCCATTTTTACTAAATGGAGTAAATCTCTCCATATTTGCTTTCCCTTACATTTGCTGAGAAGTTGTAGTTTGTCACTGCTGCAGTTAAACTTCGGTTAGGTTTGATTTTGATTTTGTTTTTTATGAAATCATTGGTAAAAGTTCACTTTTCTGTGAAGAGAGAGAAGCAGGAAATGTCAGTGAATGAGCTCAAGCTGTTTATAACTGTGCTTTATTTAGACTATGGTATATATATAACGTGGGAGTCTGGAAACCTGAATTGTGACTGACGCCAGCAGAGCACTCTGAGCTGGTGCTGTGGCCACCCTGATTTCTGCACTCAGACGTTTGTTTGCAGAATCCAGGGGTCAGGTGTGCTTTTGGTTTTGGTTGGCTTTTGTTTTCTCATGGTTAACCATTCAGGGGAAGAATCTGTAAGCAGCAATCCCTCATGTTTGTTCTTTTTCATTTATGTACAATGCTAAGGGTAATTAAATTATCATTTAATGTGAATATGGCTTTTCCCAAGTATTTTAAAGCCCTCTAGGCAGATTCATCAGGTGAAAGCAATCAAATTAAGCAATTTTTGTGTAAGAAGAGCGCACACTGGAAGAGTCTTGATACAGTGCCTGGAATGTGTTGTCTCCTGAAGGTTAGAAGATTCACTGAGTAATGTATGTTGAGCACCATTCTGACTTCACTTGACTATCATCCCTTAGTGGAAGCCTTCCTGCAACTTTTTCAATAGTGGGATATCACTTAAATTCTCAAGAAGTGCTCACGTCAGTACTCCTTGGGCAAGTAAAAAAGACATTTTTACAGAAAGGTAGTGACTGACCATGCAGAAATTCTGAAAGAGTATTGATAGTTTTGATTGTCAACAAAGATACTTAGAAAACAATTTATTTTTGAAGAACTCCAGTGTTGAAAGAGAGTGTTGATTACATGAATTACAAGTTCACAGGACTTACTGTTTTTGCTGTAACTGTCTCCCTGCTTTGTGCTGTTCTAAAACATTAACCTGCAAGAGCCCAAGCACTGGCAGGAAAATTACCTGCTGTGAAGTAGGTGATAAAAATGCCCGGCAGTAATCAGTTATTACACTCCTTAAAGAACTGTGAGAAGAGCCAACTCCTCTCTGTTATTTTACTTGCGGGATTGTCTCTGAAAGCTTGTAATTTTGGTCTGCAGCAGTCAGACAGTGTTTCAGTGGGTAGGAGTGGATCACAGTGTTTGCACACACAAACACAGAACTCTAACCTATATACTTGACACACCTGCACTTCAAACATGTGTCTCCATTTAACTCTTCAAAAGATGGGTGCAAAATGTCCTTGTGTCGTGGTTGTGTCATTTTGCCAAGGACACAAGTGATGCAAGTGCACAGGGCGTCTCTAACAACTTGGTGAAGATGAGGACATGGTGTGTTGGTTTTTTAGCGTTGCTTTTGTTGCGTTCCTTATTAGAGGTAGCAAATAGGAGATACCTGCTCCATTGAGCAGAAAACTTTATTAAAAATAAACAAATGGAGGCCATGGTTGGTGTTTTTATCTGTTGATGGCCATCAGCTTGGCTGCAGATGGGCTTGTGCTGTTTTCTCATATCAGAAATTAATTTAGTTGTGAAAGATAAGGGGGCTGTACCAGTTTCCTGCTGCGCTTGGTAATTTATGATAAGTAAATATTTCTCCACTTTATCTCAGTTTTTGTGGTATCTTTGATTCTGCCCAGCCTTTGCTAAAGTTCTATGAAGTTTGTTGTCTGTACAAATGAAGAATTTTAGTTGTCTTTGTCAGTCCTAATTTCTTTCCTTGACACAAGAATTTCTTTCTTTAGCATAGTTCACTACAAAAAAGGTGTTTTTCCTTTACTGGGGTAAAAACCCGAGGAAGTACCTAGAAGACTTCTTTACTTTGTCTCTACTACTATTGCTGGAGAGTGACTGTGTATAATGGAAGGAATGTCAGCTTCCCTAGTGAGAGAGCTCTTTCAGGGTTGGTCCAGAAGTGGAAACAAGAGGAAGGAAAAAAGCTCCACAGAAAGTATCAGAAATTGCAGTTTACATTTTTTGTCCTGCAGTTTCTGAAGGTGTTAGTTTGTCACAGGTATTCTTGCTGTTTGTTGAGAACACTGGAATCAGGATCATAATTCAGTGTATGAATCAATTGAGTGCAGTTCTCTCTCTTCTCTTGAAATCACATTTGTATTTTGCTTTTTACACCAGGCTTGAAAGAAATGGGATTTTTTGGATGATGATGAGCTGGCTGTGAACTTACTGTGCTGAAGTGAAGCTAGTGTTCATGAAGATTAGAGGCCACTTAAAAGCTGGGTGTTTAGAAGTGTGTGTTTAGGTTAGCATCTCAAAAATGTTCTGTGCAAATAAATGGGGCAAAACATGCATGTATTCTTCAACACATTATTTTCACCTTTACATCCTGTGGTTGTGCTGCAGTAATCCATTTATTTTCCTGGCAGTGTTTCTGACATGGTTCCTGTGAGTTCAGGAGGTTGCAGCAGTTCCTGCTTCCTGTATCCTATTCAGTACTTCATGGCTGTATCCATAGTGCTGTATTTAGTGCTTCACAAAATCAGTGCTCAAGTCAGATACAGCTACAGTTTCATAAAATCGTTGTTTTGAAAGAGATTTGATTCAAACTTTTTCTTCTAGCTTTTGCAGAAACAAAATAAAACTGATGCACCCTCATTGAAGGGGAAAGAATGCATTTTAAATTTATCCTTTTTTATTTATCAGTGCTCAGCTTACTAAGGGTTAAGTTGCTCTAGAGGACACTGAGGTGAGGTCTTTTAAATCTGGGCTAGGGATAAAGCATTTTGCAATTCTTTTTGTCAGTGATTTTACCTTCCAGTGTCACTGATACTCAAATGCAATTTTCACATTTGGTGGGTGTTTGGTAGCGAAGTGAAAATTGCTGGATGCTGTGGAGATTTTTTTTGTTGTTGTTGTTTAAAGCTGTTAACAGGAAACCGAGCAGGGGAAAAAAACCAAAGAGAACTCTGTAGCCAAAATCTCTACCAACAAACAAAAACAGGATGGATGTGAAACTGGCTCTCTGGTCATTATTTTAGAGCTTGTTGTTCTTTAAAACTGATTTCCTGCAATTGTTACTAAAACTGATGCATGGTGTGTTTTCTAAGAAATAAGAGTGCTGGAGACTGGCTTCCATGAAAGATGGGCTTTATTGATTTCAGACAGTAGGAAACAGATAATTTCAATTAGCACTTTAAAGGGAATTGTCACTGGCTTTGCTCTGATACTTTTTCTTCCCTGGGTGGTAAATAGAACTTGTAAAGCTTCGAGAAGTAACTGTTTTTTTGCCTCCATCATTTGGTGCTCATTACAGAAGTCAAAGCTGTTGTAATCTCTGGTCTTCCCATAATAAATTTGGGAGTTTTAGGCAGTGTTTCTATATCCCATAATCTAGCCTGGCATACTTGCTGTTGCAGAAAAGTCATGATTTCAGTTCTTCCTAACTGTGCGAAACATGGATTCTAAAATACCTGTTTACAGCGGCCAAGGAACCTGCCAAGAATGATTGTTTTGAGTTTGGGACTGGGAAGTCTTAGGGAATGTGGAAGAATGCTGTCACCCCGACAGATAGGCTGCTTCATTTTGGGCATGCTCTGAACCTGTGTGTTCACCCTAAAACAACAATAGTCACAGACTAAAATGAGTGGGACCAAAGACCCCTTGTCAGGGGTGGTTCAGCTTCCCCTGGCTTAGCAGACCTGACCACCTGCAGCATTGCCTTGCACAGTTGTTTTTTTAGTCCAATAAATACTGAGAGATTGGAGGTAGAGCAATGTGTTTGCCGCAGGTTTGGTTAGCGAATGACTCTTACCAATGCTGGTGGTCTCTGTCTTGCAGTTTTGGAGCCATTACTGCCATTGGAGTTACTGTTTTTGCAGTAATTGTCATTACTATTATTCTGTGCCTCACCTGTTCCTGTTGCTGTCTGTACAAAGCATGTCGAAGACCACGGCGTAAGTAGCTCTAAGTTTATTTTCTTTTTCACATCTTTGAAGAGGATTTTTTTTAATTCCTCGTGTAAAATTGTGTTTCTATAAGAGGTGAAAATACTCTGCTCAGAAGTTGCAATACCTAAATACTAAAAATAAGCATTTAAGCCACTTCAGAATGTGAAGTTGCAGAGGGATGTTTTAGAATATTTTCTGAGCATTTAAAAGTTCTCTTCCATCCCACCATGTGGGGGAGTCTGGGAGTCATTTGGGGTTTTTGTTTAGGGACCACCAGCATTAACCACGTTCCTTTTCCTTGCTTGTAGCTGTGGTGACCACCACTGCCACCACGACAGTGGTTCACTCTGCCTATCCCCAGCAACCAGCAGTGCCACCCAGCTACCCAGCAGGTCCATACCAAGGCTACCAGCCCGTGGCTGTGCAGCCCCAGCCGGGGATGCCAGCGGCTCCGTACCCTGCTCAGTACCCTCCCCCTTACCCCATGCAGCCAGCAGGACCCCCAGCTTACCATGAAACTGTGGCAGGTAAGGCAGCACCAAGTGCTTCTTCATCTCCTAAACAGCTAAAGAGACAGCTGCTCTGGAGAAAATCTTATGTTATTTGCATTTATTATTTTCTGTGGTTATGTTAATGCAAATGTAAACAAATTATGTAAAACTCAGGTTGTGGTGGATGCTGCTATTCACCCTGGTGGAAATTTCCCTATCACTGTGTTAAGCATTGCCAGAGGAGGTGTGAGCTGGAGCTGTACTGGCAAGGTTTGGCAATGTGTGGGACTGTCAGCAGATCCAGTAGAATGCTTTACTAATTCAGCTGACATTTAATATTAAAATCAAAGTCAATTAACATACATATATATGTATACATGAGTTGGTTGTTTCCCCGTTCCCTTTCTAATCTAATATCTGTGAGCTCTATTCTATAAGAGCATGTAGTGACAGGACAAGGGGGAATGGATTTAAACTAAAGGACAACAAGTTTAGATTAGTTATTAGGAAAAAATAAATTGTTTAATGTATGGTTTGTGAGGCCCTGGCACAAGTTGGCCAGAGAAGCTATGGACACATCTCTAGAAGTGTCCAGGGTCAGTTTGGGTGGAGCTCTGAACACCCTGGTCTCATGGAAGGTGTCCCTGCCCATGACAAAGGGATTGGAAGGAGAAGTCTCTTGACAACTTGCAGGTAGAATTATCAGAATCATTTTTGTTTCAGCTTTCCTTCTTTCACAGCATTGTTTTCATGCAGCCTTATTGTTGCAATGACTAATTCCCACTTTTGCTAGTAATAGCTGTTCTCTGAACAATTGGCTCCAGACTGCTCAGAGGGGCCAAAACTAGGCTTTTATCTGTACGATCTTCAAGTTCTCTTACAAACCTCACTGGTCATCCTTTTAAGTAACAAAGTATAGTCCTGACTAGTAGATAATGCTCTTAGAAAGTAACTTCTAGGCAACTTTAATATAAAATGGCTTTTCATGGTGTGAAAGATTTGCAAACAGTTAGAAATTTTACATTACTAATGTGCAAACCAGCCCCACATGTGAAAACACTGACTTGGCAGGACTGTTGACTATTTTTTCTGTTATAAATGCCAAAGAAACTGTGGGTTTTACAGGATTATGCCAAAGTGCTTTGGCTTCATCTTTTTCATATGAGGGAGACAATAAATTAGTCATTTCACTTTTGCTCGCTCGCTCGTTTCTTAGTTTTAAAACAGTTGTTTTGTTTTGGGTTTTTTTGTTTGTTTTTTTTTTTTTTTTTTTTTTTTTTTTGTGGGAACATCCTAAAGCACTTTCCATGTTGGCAGTTGAAAATGCCTCACAGTGAGAGTTCTTTCCTGTTAACCAAGGAGCAGGCTGTTAATTAGGTCACATGCCAGGAGAGAATACCTGCTCTGCCACACAGGAGCTAAACCCACTCACTTTACAAGATCAGCAGAAGATAACTACACTTGCACTTTGCAGGGATCTGATCAGGTGCTACTTGAACAAACTTGTGCTGTTGGACAGAGCTGAAAATGGAGATGCCACTTGAGAGCAGCATTTCTCAGAACAGTAGAAAATAAGGATCTATTCCAAGGGATGCACATCTGGTATAGAAGTCAAACTCTTTCATGTGCTCAGTAGTAGTGGGATATTTTTTCCCTATTATTTTACTTCCTTAATTAATTTTTTGACACTTCACAGGAAAACATTTTCCCTGCAGGAATCCTAAGATGATTTCTCTAGTACTTTTACCAGTATTTTTTTTTCTCAGCACACTTTCAGGTATATACTCTTGTATGTGCACCCCTTACTTCCACTGACTTTTTTGGAGCCAGATTTGTTCCTTTTTTTCAGACTAGATTCTCCCCTAAAGGCTGCTCATGTACACTCAGCATCAAAAAAGCCCCAAAGGCAACAAGAACAAAAGTTTTTGTGCTTGCTCTTCTGAAATGCAGATGTCTTATGAGTGACCACAAGCTGTTTTCAAGTCCAATTAAGATGCTGGCTAAGTTAAACATCTTAACTGTGTGCTCAAAACAGATCTTGCCATTTTATGTAAAATTTGTACATTTTACAAATTTGTTTTTTCTTGTGTTTTGCTTTTGCAGCTGGTGCTGGAGCCCCTTACCCCACCCAGCCCCCTTACAACCCTGCTTACGTGGATCCTCAGAAGCCCACCTATTGAAAAGCTCTTCTGCTGTGCTTCTGCATACAAAATATAATTTTGTTCTGTTTACACTATGTACCTATACTATATTTTTCTGGAAGACAACCATCTTTTGTTTAAGTAGAGTGAAAATCAATTCAGTATCTTCTTTTTTTTAATGCTCCAAGGAAGGAGTATTTTTCTTGCAGAAGTTAATTTATACCTCAAGCAAATAAAAAAAGAGATTTTGCTCTAGATACAATGAGAGAAGCGGGAAGAAAGTATTTCAGAAATACAGAACCACAATGCCATTTTCTGTACAATAATTTTGAGAGGAATGGTCTAATACGAATGTTGTCAAATACCCAAAGCTGTAGCAATCTTTTGCACAGTATTAAAATGTAAAAACTTAACCTCTAAGAAACTACCTGATACATGTTATGAAAGTTCTGCCTGTTTTGAAGCTACTATTGTTAGGTAAGCTACCATTTAATACATTTCATTTATCATTCAAAAGGGAATTCTCCTGTTTTGCAACATATTTACCTTTGGTAAGGGGTAGTAAACCATGTTTAATTAGTTCTAAATAGCATGAGTTTGTTATTTCCTTGTTTTCTATCCCAATTTTAAGGTTTATAAACTGTGCCTCCATAAGGTGTTATAGCTAGAAATCAACAGACTCGCTGCCACTTAAAGGACCAAATAGATCAAAAGCTGAAACCCTGAAAATTATTCATAAAAATTATTGGATGAGTATTTCTTGTTCAGGTAGTATTGGACAAGCTTACTTCAGCCATCTGTTGTTGATGAGTTTGGAATTAAAATCAGCCTCTTAATCACATGTTAAGCAGAGGTACCTTGGCAGCATTCATTCCTGCCTCATCACAGAGAAGGAATTCTTTTACAAGAGGGATGGGATGTCAGCAGAAAATTGAGGTTTTCAAATGCTCAGGGTTTTTCCACTGTCTCTAGTGGGAGCTATAGGTGGCAGGAACCTAAGAATTACAGACCTTTAGAAATCCAGTCTGCACTGGAGTAACAATGTGCAGGGTGAGGGGCCACAGTGGGCATTAAACCTCCCTTTTGTCTTCAACATTCCCATAAAGCTGAGCAGAAAATGAGAAATCAGGCAAAGAAAGGATTTGGTCACAGCCAGGTAATATATTTTTAAGAAGGTAATGCTTTCAGTCATGAAACATCTTGAGACATCCTCATGACTGTTAATGCTGCTGGGGCTTTAGGCTTTATGAATCTTTCATTGCTCAAACAAATAAGGTGGGGGGTTTCTCACTGTCCTCAACAATTCTGTCTTTTCCAACATTGAAATGCAATTTGTTGTTAATCCTCATAGAACTATGTAGTTATTTGCATGTATCACTGTGACATAATTGGTGAAAGCATTTTAACATATCTTTTATACTGATTATATTTTTTAGAGAGGCCATTGAGCCATTTGTCCTGTGATTCTACATTTGGGGTATATTATCATTTGGTGCATTGTTTTACCTCACAGAGTAGATGGAAATTGCTGCTCTCAAAGGCAGCCTTGTTCCTTTTCCTCATTTTTTGAGTCTATTTCTTAACTATTCCAATTCTTTTCTTAAGAAAGTTTTCAGGGCATTTCAGAAGAACATTGCTGAAAGTTTTTACACTGGGGTTCATGACAGCCTGTGCCCCTCTGTTAACACATTTCTGAGTGTTGAAGTTAGTAGCATGATATGGTGCCAAGAGGCACTTACAGGGCATGTATCCATGTATCCTGTGTCTGTGTGTTCCTCCTCTTTCCTGCCTTGTCAGCTGAGGAATTGGGCAAAGCTTCATTAAACTGTCAGATGTTACATGGGATGAAACAAAAAAAAAGGATGGTGTCTCCTGTATGGAGGAGGAAGTATTGCCTTAGAAATCTGGAATGTTTCTGTGGGAGAGCACTGAGTAACTGCAGAAATAAATCCTGTTCTACAGATCCTACCCCTGGTGTTTATTCATGGAGAAAGAGGGCAGAGATTGTTCCAGCAGCTTCGTTAGCCTGTGTAGAGCCAGGCCAGGGAAAGCACAGGTACAGCATCCAGTGTGGGGCTTCCTGAGGTTATTACTGTGTCCTGCTCTTCCTGTCCCCCACCTGGTGTGAGTGACAAAGGGAGCAGCTCATGGCAGTCACAGTGTCATGTTTGGGTTGTGAGAGAAATCTGCAGTTTCATGGCAGGATGGCTCAGTCATTATCCTTGAGGAGATGGGAGGAAAGTAAAATGGCAGCAATAACAGACTTTCCCAAATACAAGGTTTTGGGGTGGAGGCTGTACAGAACAAACAGATAGTCCTGCATTGCCACTGCTCTGTGCGTGGTGGTGGGAGATGAGGGGTAGGGTTAAGGAGCCTGAAAATTGACACCTTTCCATCAGTGGGTATGTATGAATGATGACTATATACAAGTGAAGAGATGAGTCATTAATGTACAAGGAATTGCCTTAGCAGTACTAATTCAGTTACCAAACTTACTGAAAGAAAATGGTCCAGCTCACAATTAATCAGATTGTGATTAACTTCTTACTGTTAGTGCATTAATCATCATTAACAATGAGGTGTAGGACCAAATTTTATTTGGCTCTTGCCTGGCAGCCTTGTTGAAGCTTGTTTTCAAATACTGATGAGAATGGGATGGTTACAGAAAAGATGGGGATGATCCATAAGTTTTCAGTTTAAGCACTGCTGATGTGTCAGTCCCAGTAGCTGTTGCCTTCATGTCCCATTGTTCTCCACAGTGCTCTAGGGAGTGGGGAGGGAGCTGAGAATTTAAATGGTGATATATCTCATTCTTTTTTTTTAATTCTGTAAGTGCCTTTGTTTCAGAAATGTTTTGTGAAATTAAAGACAGTAGAATATTGAATTTACTAGATAACCATTGTTGCTTTTGTTACATACTGTAACCTCGCTTTCTATGTTGTTTGTAGGTTAAACATAAGTATTCAAACCAAATGGCATAAACTCTATGCACCTTTGTAATAAATTCAGTGTTTGAAGTACATTCTGTCCACTTGGTTTTCTTAGCCTCATTTTGAGTATTATTTAGGGGTGTATTTGCAAAGGTACATATTCATGTGTTTGGCAGCTCATGTTACTGAGTGTCCTTCAGGTCACCTTGTATCATGAATACCACTTTTGGTGGTGGAGACTGAAGCCTAACCAAAATTACAGGTCACAACATAAAGCAAGGACAGTGTAAGCTGCTGAATGATCCTCTGACAGGCTGCTGCCAAGTAAGTCCAACAGGATTGATTCTAAGGAAGTCTGTAATTTCATTTAAAATATCTTCTCAACCTCTTTAGACTTGTGTGTTAAGTATTGTGCCTCATTCTTCAACTTGACCAATTCAACATGAGGTAAGTAATGCTTTCTACTCTGTCTGAATATGTTTTTGCTAAACTGTTTGTGCAATTTATAGTTTTGATAAAAATGCTTTAGAAAGGTTGTATTCACACCCCTGACTCATTAATCTTTCACTTGAAAATATTTTATTTGGGCAGGTCAAGAGTTCTTTATATGACACCACGCCAGCAGTGACTTGTTTTGTGTATCAGCATTATTACCTTGAATTGGCCAGCTACGTTCTTATGTAGCATTTAAAGGAAAACAAAGGGAGAAACACAGAAACTTTTAAAAACCCACTAACAGCCAATCAAAACCCCATAATAATTGGGTAGTTTTGTAGTGTTACTCCTTGATTTTATTGCAGTCTCAGCTGCAGTCTGATAATGTGTTGGAGGTGCAATATAAATAATTTCACTTCCAGTTTTATTTCACATTTTCTCTTAGTTGACTGGGGGCAGCAGACAAAATGCATGCTACTAAAAACCTAAATCTAGAAAACATATAATTAATATTTGGGCTAGAAATGACACCAGGAAATTGCAGTTATTTGTGATGATTTTGTTGGCACTGCTTTCTAGTTCGTCTGTTCCTCTTTTCCCATGACTTTCAGTCAGTATGGCTGTTGTCCAGTATGGCTGAGTTTGAAAAGTGAAAGGCAGAGAAATGCTCAGAGAAAAGCTGTGTGCCTTCCCCTCTCTCTGTACACAGGGCTGAGGAGCAGAACCTGGGTTTTGATTAAAACCTGCAAATTCCCTTAAGGAGCACATAGGGTTTCAAAGGTACCTTCACCCTTTATTATAGCAAACGAACATATAGGAGAGTTAACTGTTGAACTGAAAAGTTGGGAGCCCAGGGTTAGGTGAGGAATATTACTGGTTATGTTTTCATAGTGTTTAATCAGCAGATGTCTATGGTAGTGTGAATTTTTCCAGAACTAAACTTGGCATGCATTTAAAACTCATGGCAGGGTTGTGTGGGAAGAGCTGGACACACCAGAGGAAAAAACTTCAATTATTGCCAAACAAGCAATTCTTGCCTGTTTTATTTTTTCCAAGTATGGAAACTCAGTATCATATCTCAGCACTTGTAATAACTCACATATTTGCTTTAGCCAGTGTTTTGGGGTCTGTTTTTATCTCTGATTATTATTTGACCATATCTAGTTGTTTTGCAGCCTGTATCACAGGAACCTGGTCAGATTTATAGTTTTCAGTGAGTGATATAGGAGGGGAAAAACATGCACAAGTTAAACTTGTCAGAGGTGAGAAAAAGCTGAAGAAAATGCTACTTTATCCTTTCAAGAGCTCAGGCTTCAGCACTGATGGAATTGTCCTCTGCAAAGGCAGCCCCCCCTCAGAGCCAATTAGCCATTATAAAATAACCTCTGATATCCCATTTCTCTTACTGCACTCAAAATAACTTTTAAATCAGCTACTGCAGCCTTTTCATTCTAACACTTCTTGTTCCTGCAATGGGATTTGTGGTTCACTCTCTGATGGTACCTTGCCCCTGGAATCAGGTAGGATGTCATTCTCAGACTGTTGGAAAGGGGTTGCAGCTCAGCTGTGCTGTAAAGAAGGTTTTTTAGCAAAACAAATTGTTCATTCTCAGAACACCAACCTACATCATGATTAATGCATAGATTAAAACATTACTGTTTGTGTTACCTCTGTTAGGACACTCTACCACCACTCTACTAATTACATTCTGGCCATATATGAAAAGAAAATGGCAATTTCCTCTGGATATTTTCAAAAGCAGGTTAGCCTTTGAGAAGCTATTGCACTGTCAAGATTTAGGACTAAGTTTTCAAATTAGTCCAGGCTCAGCAGTGCTGACAGTCACACTTCAGGTGTGAATGTGTTTGCCCTTGCCTCTTGGAAGCACTTTGATAAACTTCAGCCACAATGGGTTTGTAGAGATCACAGATGACCTTTTCTTATCAGCCTGATAAATTACAATCAACAATGTACATTTTTTAACAATTTACACTGGAAGTTTGCATTTGCTGCTACATTCACAGCAGATAACACAGTCTGTGCAGGTAGAACTGCAATTTGACCCTAATTGTAACCATTTGGCCATTATAGCCATAAATAATACTGCAGACTGTAACAAAAACATGCAGTGGTGAGGATGACTTTGTTCTAATTGTTTAGCACAGGCTTTTAAGCAGTAGCTCACCTGTGGGATTAATATGAGTAAACCCAGCTGAGGTCAGGGATGTGTGCTACAGGATGAGGTATTTTGTATTTACCGTCTTCACCTATGTCAGCTTAGTTTAAAAAGATGGGCTTTTAAGGCCTGACATGACACAAAGCAGTTGTTTGGCTTCTCTGTGGCGTTTGTTTCAGTTAGGGGATGGATGAGCTGCAGAGGCCCCTTCCAATCTCTCCAAGTTAATGATAATGCAAGGTGTAGAATTAAGCAAGGTTTTATTGAGCAGGAAAAAGCAGCTCTGGTGAGCTCAGCTTTCAGCCAAGGGGAAACCCTGGTTGCCATCCCCACGGGCAAGGAAGAAGATGGGTGGTGCTGCTGAGGAATGTGAGAATTGTGTGTAGAACATGCCTAGTGGCTTTCCTTTGCTCAGTGCTTCATTGTTCAGGCTTGTGCCTGTGCTTGATGCCAGAGTAAATTGCTTTTCTCAGTTAATACAGAGGCACAGCTTATCTGTAACATGGTGGGGAAATGCAAACTGGCATGGAAAAGTTGCTATGGTGGGAGTTCTTCAGGGAGAGAAGAACTGATGATCCGGGATGATGAGCTGTTGCATACATTATTGGATCTTTTTAATCCTGAGAAAACTCTCAGGAGGAAGTAAAAAGGGAAAATTGTTGAATGTCAGCACAATCTTAAAATAATTCTGACAAGGCTGATCACTCCAAATGTCTTAAATAATTATGGTGGTTCTGTAAATATGTTTCTTTTCTGCCTTTTCTTTTTAGGCGTACAGCCTCATTTTTCCTTAGGAATGTGAACAGACAGTGCCTTCAATTTTAAAAGCTGTGGTTTAATTTCACAATAACACACTGTTAGTGTGATCCCTGTGAGGGAAAAGTTTGGATCTGTTTGGGGTATGGAGCCTGGGTTGTACTGCTTTAAAGTCTGGAGTTGGGAGAAAATGAGAATGTAAATGTACATGTTTGGGTGTTGTCTGTTAGAGGGGGTGGAAGGGAAGGGATGCAAAGCCAGGAGGGAACAGTTAGGAGCTTTCCTACCAGTTTTTTTCCACAGATAACTCTTCTGTTTATATAAAGTTTAGCAATAATCCACTTCTCCCTTCTTCCAAGTTGCCATACACACACCCTTTAGATGAAGCCAGGATTTTTTTTAAACAACTTTTTATAACTGAATTGCTCCAACAGTTTGGCATTCTTTAGGGAACTGGTTTTTGTCCAAGTTCTTAACAGTTCATTTGGTCTGTTCACCCAGATGGGTTAAATGTCCCTTATCTCTATAAACTCAAATTGTTTAGAGAAATTAAGTGGTGAGAACGGTTGAAAACTGATGATCACTGCATTTTGGAATATCTGAGGTATTGTGACTGTCATATTTTTGTTAGGACAGTTCTAAGGTTGCCCCTCACAGCAGGCTCATGGCCAGATACAGCTTTACCACAGCTCCTGCTCACTGGGCTGGTTCTTAAGGAATTATCTTAATGTTTATTTTGGTTTTGAGGAAGGAAAGGGCTTTTACATGCACTTTCCAGGTCTTCTCCCTAATCCTGAAGACCAGGAAATGTTTGGTGGTTGTTTTTCTTTTCTTTTTTTTTTTTTTTTTTGGTTTTTTTTTTTTTTTTTTTTTTTTTTTTTTTTTTTTTTTTTGGTTGCTTTGTTTATTTGCTTATTTACTTATTTTACATGGACAAATGAAATGTTTTTTGTCACACCAATATCTGCAGCTTGTCTTGTCCAGGGCCTGGTGACAGTTCCAGGGTTCTGACCATGCAAGCACACACAGGCTTGGAAGGCTTTGCTGCTCTGTGGCTGTGCATCCTTCCTTGGTGCATTTCAGAAGGCACATGGCACTTTTCCAGGTGCTACCAGGGACTTCATACCGGTTACTGAGAGGAGCTTGTGTTTCACAGAAATGACCTGGCTGGCCCTGCCTGGTGTAGCTGCTGCTCAGAGAGGAGGAGGCTAAGCCCAGGCTGGGGGGGAAGAAGGAGCTTTGGCCTTCTGGAGGTGCTGGGTTAATATCCCAGTTCTTCCTGCATAGGCATTTCTAGGAAAGTTCTCTTCTAAAGCAAGAGCCAAGCCAGGAGCTTGCTAAGCACTCTGGAGTGGGCTCTCTTTGCTGGGCAGGTCACAGCCTCCTTGGGCATAACCAGAGAACAGAATGTCTCCCAGTTTTCCAAAGTCTTCCTTCCCACTCTTGTACAGTCTCTTGTCCTCCTGGTTCCTGGTTCCAGGCTTGTTCTTAACCAAGTCCCTGTTGAAAATGGAGAAGAGCTCTCCCATCTAAACACACCCACCTGTGGGCTCATTTTAATAACACGCTTCCCTTTTTAGGGTCTAAGGCTCAGCTGGTGACTTGCAGCCCAGTGTGACAGTGAGTGAAGGTCATGCACACACTTCAAAGGGTGGGGCAGCAGCTCTTCCTCCAACCTTTGGTGCTGAATCCTAGGAATGAGAGGCTCCTTCATCTTCATCATGA